TAGAGGGAATTTTAGGTTAAAAACGTCAAATAAAAGATACACCGATTTTTTAATTATTCCTCAATTTGTACCTTTTGTGTTTTTAAACATTGATATTAAGATAATTATGAGTACAAAAGCTACAAGTTACTTTACTCTCTTCAAAATAATAGACGAAGAGTAGCAAAAACCTTGGATAATTTTTATTGGCGGCCTGGCATTACATTCGGTACGAGCAATCATCTGGCAAAAGGAGGAATTGGACTCCCTAAGGACTCCCCTAATCATATGAATACAGTGGAAGCGAAAGGGTTAAATTAAAAAGTGCACATCCTTGGAAGAAAGTCAACGAGACGAGTGATACTTTAAGCGGTCTGCTTTACTGTTTTGCAAATTATATCTATTACAAGCAAGAAATATCAGGACACCGCTAATTTTCAAAAACGTAAAAATTCAAAGAGGTATTTTAAAAGAAATTCCTCGTAAAATATAAATAATTTGAGAATAAAACACCAACCGTCCCTCCGACTGTACAACACGCTGAAACATCCACCGAGACGATCTCTACGACACAGTCACACATCTCCATACTCTCGGCACACGATCCTGTTTCTACGTCGCGGGGAAACCTACAATTTACCGCAGACTACCGAACGGGGATCGTCAGCTTGTTAATTAGCGGCCATTACGACCGTCATGACTATCAACACCGTCATCTTTGTTATCGTCCTCGTCCTTCGCCGCGATTGGCCAGCGGGAGAGATCGGCACCGATACAGGGCTTGAATCTCCTCGAATCCACGCGATGTAGCAACGTCTCCGTTGCACACACACACACACACACACACACTCTCTCTCTCTCTCTCGCACACACACAGTGTGCAAAGATAGTCGAAGGCAGGTCTCGATATCGGTGTACAGGTAAATGGTCAAGTGGATGACTACGGGCGTTTGATTAAGCGCGGTAGCCGTGCTACCAGTGGTGCGCGTTCGTTCGCGCAATTACACCGAATGGATTTCCTAATTGCGGCGCCGCGCCGCAAGAGATTGGCCGCGTTCGAAGCATCCCATTGCGCGAACGGATCCCTCGGCTCTACACAACACACAACCGTCGTTTTCTCTTTCACCGAGTGTTTCCTGCGGTGGTTGCCGCGTGAGTCTGCGGCCGCAGAGGAAGACGTCATTTCATCGATGGATCCGGTTCAATCTCAGACCGGATCGATTTATCGACACCGGAGTGTTCGAATTCGCAGTACGGTGGAAAGCCAGACAGGATCACGGATTAACACACGGACATCTGACACTTCGAATCGTAAGAAAATTCGTTTCGCTTCGATCGAGATTCCCTGCTCGATCACGTCACACGGAATCATTTAGAATAGACGACTCACGCCTCGTTTCTCACGTCTCTACCTACCTCGCGTGTGTAAAGACACAAGATCGCCACTTAGCTCTACAAAGATGAACGGCCACGTTGAATCGTTTCTTAAAAGGAAAATTCCTCGCGGTGTTTCCAGCGAGCGATGAAAATTCGTCTCGCCTCGATCGCGCGCGTTGATACGTGAAAACAGAAGAGGGGATGCAAAGGTTCGAGAGACAGACGTATCCGCGGGAGACGCGACCGCGTTCAGGAAACAAGAAAGCACACACTGCGAACGACAAGCGGTGTAATCGTCTTCAGATCCGAGCTTCACAGTATAATCTTATCGCGGAGATAGCGCGTACTTTAATCCTCGCTTATTCTATTTCTGCCACGGCGACCGTGTTTCCCCCCGCGTGCCGTCCTACGAGGGAGCGAGAACGAGGGAAAAGGGTGGCAGAGAGTCGTGGCGGCAGAAGAAGAAGAAGAAGAGGAAGGATAAGAAGAAGCATAAGAAACAGGGAGGCGAAAGAAGGAGGGGGAAGATTGCAGGGGCTGCGTCAGGGAGCGCACCGAAAGGCCTTGGATCTGCATAGCAAATTGGCGATCGATATACGGTCACCGTACGGCGAATCGCGCGAGCCTCGAATTAAAGCTTATAACTTTCATGTCCGGTGCAATGTATCATTATGCGCAGGGCGGCCCTCGCTTCTTGATGCAGCTGCCCGCATGCTCGTACGCGACGGCGTACCAGACCGTGCGGCGGCCGCGAATATGTGCATAAACCACGATAAATCGTCCTGCGTAAGATACGGATCGACGAATGACAAGTCGCTCGATGGGCGGCGATTTCGCGCCACTTCTCCGATCGAAACAGAGGACAAATACGCACAGTTTCGTTGTTACGCAACTTGCGAACCATTCCTCTTGCCCTGCAATCTCCGTTCTCGGTAAGTAGGCACAGCAAAAGGATAGAGGAGAGGCGGCGAGTCGAGGATCTAACGAACCATGGACCGTTTAGACGGATGGAACGCGAGAAACTACCGATGTAACTCGCCGTTGGCACGCCTATGCGCTCACGGGTCAACCCTGTCTCTGCACACGTTGCTGTAACGCGGTTCGCGGCAAAAAAACAGTGTCGCCAGCATATGTGTCCGGTTAGAGAGAGAGTGTAGAGGGAATGCAATAACAGTGCAGGCTACGTTGTACGAGAGTAGATATTAACGATCGACGCGTAAGTTCGCTTCGTGTTCTGGAAGATTGGAAGGAGAGAAGAAGAAGAAGAAAAAAGAAGAGAGAAATAAGTAGATTCCAAGTGGCGTTTTATGGGGTCGACGGGCAAAAACAATATTTTCTTGCGAGCATACACGACCGAGGAACCACCACCACCACCACCGACACTGTCGCCGAGACACCTGGAGGAGAGTAGTGCTCCTCTCGAGGAGGAAGGAGGATCGACAAGAAACGTTCTTGTTGTTCGGCGTGTTTGCAAACGAAACCGGACAGCCGTGACACCTGACACCTGGTGCACCGTCTCGCTTTTTCCACCGTGTAGAAACGGGGGAACACGATCGAGGCTTCTTCGTTCAACGCAGAGGTGTACGTAGGACCTGATTGAGACAATAGAGCCGCGGTTCGCACGATTAGCGTTCCGTTGACCACCGCGCGCGTCAATAAACTCACCAAGTCCGCGAACGTGGCATTATTTATGGTTCCGTTCCGATGTCACCGGTTTTAACCGCGATTGTTACGTCGATCGTGGAAAGGTACCCGCGATTCCACGAATTACCAATCTGTCACGTGGAAAAGTTGGCTGACTTTTCAAACCTTTCGAGGCTACACCTTCTCCCCTTTCTCACAGATCAGAATTGATCTCCGATACTGTATCGTATTAAACCCTCGTTACTTCTACCGCAAGTGTCGCGTGAAAGGTCTAATCTCTTTAACCCTTTACCTTATTACGTCGATAATATCACAGTTGTTGTTGTTGTTGTAGGTTATGGTCAGGATAAAAGTAGAATACTCCTGCAACCTTTCTTACTTAATTCTCCGTTTAACCTACGATCTTCCCACGACAGAGACGTGCCAGCTATTATAGAAATAGGATAGGAAACCCGTTTGGAGGGAAACGCGACTCGGTGCCTCGCGACCCAGGCCAAATTCCTTCAACGCGCTGTAATTTCCAGCGGAACGGTCGCAAGCGATACACCCGTACACGTTGGCAACATCGGCACAAAGGATTAGCACGCGCGCGTCACGCTTAGCACGCGCATCAGAGTCACGAGCCGTGAAGGGACACGCGTAAAAGAGAGATTGGTCGTAGGAGATCGTTCTACGTGGCTGGGCTAACGCGCGTGTTCGCTCCACTTCCGATATTAAGCCACCCTCGCACGTGAGGACGCGCCCGCCGCCGATCCAGCGCTTCTCCGAGAAGATATTTCTTCGAACGGCGAGGGAAAAAAAAACGAAACTTTTTTACCAACAACAGGTAACCGACAAAACGTTACCCGTGAAATGCCGAGTGTGTGTGTCGGCGATAAAACGTATTTCACGATCGCAGGTGAAATTTTGCGAAATAGAAGAGAGTAGGTATAGTTACGCGCGATACGTGAAAGAGAAAGACGAGAGACGCGAGAAGTTTTGATCTGTCGATGATAAAATTAACACTAGGCTTGTATAAATTCGTTTCACACGACGTTTTATAGGATGAAAAAGGTCGAGCGTGAAAAAAAAAAAAAAAAAAAAAAAGAGGAGAGACGGCGATACGTGAAAGAGAAAGACGAGAGACGCGAGAAGTTTTGATCTGTCGATGATAAAATTAACACTAGGCTTGTATAAATTCGTTTCACACGACGTTTTATAGGATGAAAAAGGTCGAGCGTGAAAAAAAAAAAAAAAAAGAAGAGAGGAGACACGTTGATACGCGCGTTCCCCGTAACACGCGCATCCGCTCTACTTCCGACGCTTAGCGCCGCGACGCTCCAACGAGCTCGACGCATGGCATTAAACCGCCCTCGCACGTGACGACGGGAGTTGTGTGACACGGATTATAAACGGGCCGCTACGGTGTGTCGCCGAGGGTGAGAAAAAAAAGAGGAAGAAAAAAAAAAAAAGAG